GCTGGGTGCACAGGTGCATTCCGAGTTACCACTCAGTACTCATCTGGCGGTCTGCTTGCAGGTCGCTGCTTCCGCTGGTAGGCCCAAGATGCGAGTCATGCCTGTCCCTCGGCTGTTTCCAGATGAGCGGCCTACTGGATGCTCGCGCTTGGATGCTGAGAACATGTGGGCCACAGTTCGATGGCTCATGTCGACAGGTCAGGTATCGCAGGAGCTCTTGGCAAATGGATGGGTTTCCTCCGTGCCAGCTGCTGAACGACAATGGGTAGATGTATATCAGGTACCGTCCGATATGGTTCCAAAAATTCGCGGGCGCGATCGCAAGGTGGAGCCGAAATTGGTGGATGCGCTGCCCAAGTTGCCTCCCAAGTTCCCTCGTGTGTCGCCTGCGGTGCTCTGGCTTCGAAGTATTGGGGCCGCTCTTAGCTTTGCTGGATGTTGGCAGCCACCTCTTACTCGCATGCGCGCGCTCGCATCGGCGCACAAGCTACTCCGCAAGGCGCCTGCTGCAGTTACTTCAGTGCCCGACGGCGACGTTGGGCGTTGGTGGTGTATGCTCTCTTTGATTCCTTTGTGCGAGTTGGAGATTCGGGCTTTGCAGATTCTGGCTAGTGCGGTCAAGCACTGTGCGGCGCAGCTGGCAGAGTATGATATGAAACACCGCGTCGGCGAGTTTCGGAAGTGGGCCACTGCTCATGCGGGATCAGGTGCTGGAGGTCTCCTCGCCATCGCGCGTGAAAAAAGCACCTTGGGCGCCGTGTGCTCCCGATCGTGAACGGGCACACCTTCCTAATCACAGGCAGAGCGAGATGTGTTTGTTGCAAGAGGTGGTCCCGGTGGTATAAGGTTGGGCAGTGGCATCAGCACGTCAGTTGGCCCGATGAGCTGGGCGCACGGCCGCCGAGGCCGAGCGTCGAGTTGTTGTGCGAGGTTCTTCGGACATTCAAGAAGAATGCTGGAGTTGGGTACGATTCCATACGTCCGAGACAGATTTTGGAGCTGGATGATCTGGCTTTGGAGTGTCTTATTGATCTTCTTGTGGCGATTGAGGCTTCGGCGCAGTGGCCCAAGTTTGCACCGGCGCCGCCTTCCTTCAGAAGAGGCTAGGAGGAGTTCGTCCGATTGCTCTGATTCCTGTCTTAGCAAGAATACAGGCTCGCTTGCGGCGTCCGTTGGCGTTGTCTTGGGGGAAGGCGAATCATGGGTTTTATTTCTGGGCGTGTGCTGGGAGATCTTGTGAACGCGCGGTGTGGCAACGAACGGCCTGGTCCGAATGGGCCGCGTGCAAGTCTCGGGAAGTTGGGTCTTGTTCGGGGCTCTGGTGTTCGGCTCAGGTTCTACTGGGTCTCCTGAGGGCCTTCGAACAGGTACAGCATCATGGGCTCCTGCAAGCTGCTGTGGCTACTGGGTTCCCTCTGTGGCAGCTGAGGCTTCAAGTGGAACTTTATCGTATGCAGAGGTTTGTCGCCCTGGGAGCTGCGGTGTCTGGAGGGATCGTCACTGAGCAAACGATCTTTCGAGGGGGCGGCTGGGCGACAACGATGCTCAAGGTAGCGCTCATCCTTCCCCTGGACAAGGCGTATGCACTACATCGCACGGTCATGCCAATGGTTGTGGTCGATGATCTGTTACTGCAACGAGTGTGTGCGCGTGATCGTGTGTGTCGTGGGATTGTTCAGACCACGAAGGATTTGCAGCGCATTCTTGCTGAATATGACTTGCTTGTGCATTCCGACAAAACACGAGTCCTGTCCAATGATGCGATGGCGCGTGGCTTGATTGCTGGTCAGCTGGCGCGTGCCACCGGTGCGATTGCAGCGCGGCATGAAAGGAATTTGGGAGTTGACTGTGCGGCAGGACGGCGTATTCATCGCAATGTCCGCAGCTCCAAGGTGGCTCAAGCTCGGTTGAAGGTCAGGCGCATGAAGAAGTTCTGGACGGGCACCAAGAAACGTCTGGCGGCAGCGCGTATTGCTCGTGCTGGCACTGAGGCGAGTTATTCGTATGGCATGTCGTTCACGGGTTGCAGTGCTGGTGAACTCGAGTCTGCTCGTGCTCTGGCATTTTCCGCCATCGAACCGCGGACGTCAGGCAAGAGCAGGACTCTCATTTTCATGTGCCATGGCAAGATCGATCCGCTATACAGGGCTACGTGGTTGCCGATTGTAGCCTTCGTGCGGGCCATCTGGGAGTCCTGGGTTCCCGTGCGCGTCGTGGAGACCTCCATGTCGGGCTGCCGAGGGATCAAGCACTGGACGCAGGTTCAAGGTCCTGGTGGGGCTGTTCGGCTTTCTCTTGAGCGTGTTGGTTGGACGGTGTTGGAACCATTTAGGTGGCTGACGCACGAAGGTGGCATGATCGACGTTAGGGAGGTGTGTCCGTGGTATATTACGCAGCCATTGGAAAGGGCTATCTTGGCTTGGCAGAGGCTGTATGTTCCTCTGGGCGATTCCTTGGGGCATCTGGAGAAAGGCGCTGCCTGGGAGCCTACTTTTCCTCCATTCCCAAGGGCCGCGGCATTTCCGAGGAATGCAACAACCTGCCTCGATTGGATTTCGCTCACAGAGGTTACTTGAGATCAGTTGTCGTGAACGGGCAATGGCCGATGTCCAGGAAGTTCGAGGCGGGATATGGGGATAATGACAGCTGCCTTCTATGCGACGCGACGGGCACGCTCATCCACAGGCACTTCTCCTGCGAAGGAGATGTCCGATTGCCTGTGCCACCTGAGTTCCGATTGCTGACGGATCGTGCAGATGGGCCAGAGGTGAAGCTTCTGCTTGAGAGATGTCTGTGGGCGACAACGCAGGTGCCTGAAGGGTGGAGGCCCCCTAGTGAGCAGCAGATAGTGTGGAGCAGGCGTGAGGGTGTAGGAGTGATTCTAGCGCGTGAGGCGTATCTGGACGGGTCCGTGTTTGAGGGCGACTGGACGGCTGGCTCCGTGACTGGTTGGGCCATCGTCACGCTCACGTCGGGTCCGCTCGGAATCCTCGATGCGGTTTACGGTCTTTGCGCGGGCCCCGTTAGAGACGTGGACGGGGCTGAGTTGACAGCTCTAATTCAGTTGCTGAAAGTGGCGGTGCCTCCGATTGAGGCCGTCACGGACAGCAATTTCGTCTTTGAGGGCATTTATGATCGTGGTCCTGTGAGGGCCACCACTTATTGCAGTGCTTGGGCTTCTCTGTGGCGTGTCTTTTGGAAGCTTCTTGAAGATTTCGGTGGCCTCGGCGAAAGCGGCCTGGTGGTGCGAAAGATAAAAACGCATTCGTCCTCTCAGGCCGTGGAGTCGGGGCTTGTGTCTAGGCGTGACAGATTCGGTAACTCTCAGGCTGATTTGTGGGACAGGCGCTCTACTGCTAGAGTGCGTGTGCCCGAGGATGATAGGAAGAGGCGGCGTAAGTCGTCTGCTTTAGTGGGGCGTGTCGCGCGCTGGCTTGGCACCGTTGGGACCGCGACGAAATGTCGGGATTATGTCCTCGTTCGCCGTTCGTCGTTTCCGAGTCGGCCCCGCGCGACTGGCCCGATTCGGCTTGTGCGACCGATTCTCGAGCATGATTGGCATGGTTTTGACGGCAGCCGCTGGTGCCGCCGCTGTCGAGTTTCAGAGCCTGGGCAGTCGGAGTGCCCAGGGTCCATTGTTTCCAGAGCTGCAGAAGCCTCAAGGAAGATTGAGGCCAGTGGTGGGCGGCCGCATAAGTTGGTTGCCCTTAACACGGAGCCCTCCTCGTGGGCTCAGGGTAATCCGTCGATCGCGTGCATGGCATGTGGTGCATTTTCGGCCAGGCAGTTGAAGAGTCTCCTTGTCCCCTGTAAGAGGTCAGGGGCTCATGGTCTTCGTGCCCTCAGGAGACTCGAAGCTGGCTTGCTCCCTGATGGAGCTCGAGTGGCAGCCATCTTTACAGAAGTATAGGCTGCCTGGCGGACGTGACGTGCTCGGATGCGCGCCTCGATGAGTCAGGCAGAAGGGGGGGAGGAGGAGGAGGAGGAGGAGGAGGGGGAGGAGGAGGAGGAGGAGAAGGAGGAGCCAGTGCACGAGGCGCCCGTCGAGGATCCTCAGGACGTGCGTCAGCCCAACGTGTGTGTGTGTGTGTGTGTGTGTGTGTGTGCTTGCGCCGCTCCATGCCGCCGATGGCGCGCCACCTCTCGCTGCGCTGCCCGAGTCGCACGGGAAGGGGCTCGGTGGACATGCGCACGCTGGTGCAAACACTCTACCCATCGGTAGTTGAAAGTAGGTATTTGTTTGGATTCTCCAGATCCCAGTCTGCTTTCAGCGCCTGCCTACTTCAATGACAGAGTGGCTTCACCTTTCTCGTCCTCCTTAGGGGGCGGGCGGACACCCATCTCTTCAACGCCTTCCCACTGCATGCTTCTACTTATTTCTTGCGACCGATGGGTAGGCCTCCCGCATGGGGTCCGAATAGATCGGGTTGGATGATCGCGCCGCATCGTCAATGCATCGGCGACGTGGTTCGATGCGGATCCCGATTTTCTCCACGCGGATGTCGCCGCTGCATCGACGATGTACCGGCGGTGCGGCGAGATCCTCGGACCCCATCTGCTACGACCCCATCTGGGAAACCTCTAATCACTTTTTCCGTCGGCGGCGTGGCAGAGTCGGCGGCACCAGCGCAGGAGCTGCACGGGGGGCACCGAAGAGCGAACTGGCCCGCGTGCAGGAGAGGGACAAAGGGGGGAGGCGGGCGGCCCCAGGGGGGGGGGGACGAAGAAGGCCACTCAGGGGGCGGACGAGGAGGCGGAGGAGGAGGAGGAGGAGGAGGAGGGAGGAGGAGGAGGAGGAGGAGGAGGTGGAGGAGGAGGAGGAGGAGGAGGAGGAATGAATACGCAACTCAGGGGGCGGACGAGGGGGCCTCGGAGCGCACGCCCTGAGTGCCCCCCGTCGGGGCCCGGCAGCGGGCCGCGGGCGGCGACCGGTCGACGGCGCCGAGCCTCGGCGGCGGCGGCGGCGGCGGGCGCCGGCGTGCGCCCTGCGCCCGCGAGAGGACGGCGCTGTCCTTCGCCTGCGGGAGCGGCTCGGTGGAGGCGCGGGCCCCGCGCGCGGGGGCCGCGGGCCGCGCGGGGGGGAGGCCCCAGGCAGGGGGAGGAGGGGGGAGGAGGAGGAGGAGCAAGAGAGCAAGGGGGAGAGGAGGGAGGGGGAGGAGGGGGGAGAAGCAAGGGAAGGAGGAGGGAGGGGGAGGAGGAGGAGGGAGAAGGGGGGGGGAGGGCAAGCTAGGTGCGCTCGCGTCATATCTGACATCCTACCACTCCCTCCCATCATTTACCATGGCGCAGATCCCCTCTCTACTCGCACAGTCGGATGTCGAGCAGGGCAATGATCCCGAAAGGGTACGCGATATATTGTAGAGCACGGCGTGGTATGGCGTAGAAGAGCACCGCAAAGCGTAGTATGTCACAGCATGGCGTGGCGTGGCGTAGTGAAGAATTGCATCAGAAAGTTTGCAACGCAAATCATGGCATCGCACAGCGGCCCCGAACATAACATTGCATAGCATGGCGTTGAAGATCAAAGCGTAGCATGGCATAGCACGACGTGGCACTGAAGCAATGCATATCGCAGCTTCAGCTGAAGGCATGTCATCGCGCAGCGGAATGCAATCTAGCATTGCATTGCATGCCGTGGCATGGCACGGGAAATGACGCCAGCGCTGCAGCGGGAGCACGATTCGGAAGGAGCGGAAGCGCGGAAATGAGGCCAGCGTTGCAGCGGGAGCACGATTCTGAACGAGCGGGAGCACGGAAATGAGGCCAGCGCTGCAGCGGGAGCACGATTCGCAACGAGCGGGGCCTGAAAATGAGGCCTGCGCCTCAGCGAGAGCAGCATTTTGAAAAGAATGCAAGCGAAAACCCAACTCCGGGGAATCCTGTATGTAAAAAACAATACGCGGGGGGGGGGGGGGGGGGGGCGAACACTCCCAACCCGTCATCAAGGGAAGAAGGGGCGTAGTATTCATATTGAGTAATTGTGGAGGAGAAGAAGCAAGGGGGAGAGGAGGGAGGGGGAGGGGGGAGTGGAGGGGAGGAGGAGGAGGAGGGGGGGAGGGGGGGGACGGGGGAGGGGGGAGGAGGGAGGAGGAGGGGGGAGGGGGGGGACGGGGGGAGGGGGGGGGGGGAGGCGCGCGCGCGCAACGACGGCATAGGCAGGTGCCGTGCTCGAGATAGCAGTGGAGTGCTCTCTGGAATGGGGCGGGAAGTTGGCAGGGAGGAGGGAAGAGGGAGGAGGAGCGACGCTTCCTTGAGTTCCTCCTCTGCCTCCTCCAGCTCCTCCCTTCCTCCCCGCCTCCTTCTCCTCGTGTTCCTCCCCTCCTCTCTCGTTCTCCTCCTGCTGTTCATCGCCTGAGGTTTTGGCGTTGCATTTCTTCACGCCAGGCGTTTTTTCGCCTGGTTACGGGGGTCGGGACCATCACATGACATCGATCCGGCTCGAACAGCGCCTCCTAAAGAGAGGGTCCAGGTCTCCGGCAGTGATTTCTCACGATGCCGCATGTTTATTTGCAGCCTCGCAGCGGCTCCGGCGGCTACGGAGCTACGGCGTTTCAGCTCTTGCTGCCCGCCGTAGCTCGCGTGGCGTCGCGAGAGACGTGGCTCTGACGATCGTGGGCCGCTCGGCCATGTTCTATTCTTGGCCCCAGCGCTTCTTTTGTAACATCATTCTTCGTCTCGCATTGGAGGGGTCCATGACTAGGGGAACAAACAATGACATAAACATACAAATTCTGAGGTCCGCGCGGATTTCTCGGATCGGCGCTGGGATCCCCCTGGCGCGCTCCGCGCACACGAGGCGCCCCCCTCTCGCGCGCCCCGAGGGGAGCCCTGTCATCAGCGCAGCGCGGGGCGGTTTGGGTCCGAGGTCGTGGTCACTAAACCACGTTTTACCAAAGGGGGTTCTGCCGGCGAACCGTCGCCGTGAACATATCAGGACCGAGGGTTTTTGTTGTGTTACCATCTCCGGCTTCCGGGGGCCCTCACCAGGCCCTGGGGCTGTCAACAGAACGGTTCCAGAGCAGAAGCCAGTCGGTTCGGGGAGGGTTCTCTATTGTTTTTTGTGTTTGTTGGATGTTTTCGTGCATCCCTGGGAGGGTTCCCTCCCCGAACCGACTTCGACCTCATATTAGAATAATAATGATAATGGTACTAGACCCTGTAAAAAGAAACGTTTGGCGCTCCGCGCGAATTTCTTGGATCCGCGCTGGGCTCCCCCTGCGGCGCCTCCGGCGCCGCCCATGACTCGATCCGCGCGCCAGGGTGGGGGGTCCAGCGCAGATCCAAGAAATCAGCGCGGAGCGCCAGAAGTTTGATTATGTTAATGGCTTTTCTTCTTCTTCTTCGAGTGGAAGATCGAAGTCGGTCCGGGGAGGGTTCGCTATTGTTTTTCGTGCTTGTTGGATGTTTTCGTGCATCCTTGGGAGGGTGCTCTCCCAGAACCGACTTCGACTTCATACTAGAAAGATAAGACAAATAATATACCCAGTCAACGGAAACGCTTGGCGCTCCGCGCGGAGCGCGAGAGGTTTATGTTTCTTCTAGTATGTGATCGCAGTCGTTTCGGGCAGGGTGCCCTGCTGTTCTTTCTGCCTGTGGGGTGCTCCCGTGCATCCCGGGAAGGGTACCCTTGGATGTCCCGCGTGCTCTGGTTTGCCGAGGGTATCGTGATCTTGAAGGATGTCATTCTACCCTCAAGTCGGGCGTGTCCCCCTACAGGGGGATCTTCGACGAAACATGAAGAATACCCCAAACATACACCAAACATGTCAAAACATATGCAACAAATAGTCCCCAGACTGTTTTTTGAGGATTGTTTGATTATTTCTGGGGGTATTTTTTATGTTTCCTCGAACGTGTCCCTGTAAGGGGGACAGGCCCGACTGAATTCTGCCCCGCACTCTACCCCTGCCCGCCGCACTCCTCGAGCTGGGCCGCGCTGCGCCGCCCCCTCCCTCGGCGCCTCTGCCGCCCCCGAGGTCCGACGCCCGCTGTGCACGGGCCGCGATCTCGCGAACGGTCGCGGCCGGAGCCCCGAAGACCTAAGCCTTTTTGTTGCCTCCTTCTCCGAGCTGGGTCGATCTGTCTTTTCGGGGGTGGACTGACCTCCTGCCCTGACACGTCGATTGAGGAATTGGCCGTTTTCGGTTCGCGAGAGGGCGTCGCGGCCGTCATTTTCGCGGGTGCAGGTCCGTCGATTTCGGTCCCAGGCCGTTTTATGCAAGGGGAGGTTTACTGAAGGGAGGTTTGTCCACCGCCGATCTTTGGACGGTGAGCGAGGGGGGGGGAGGCGAGCAGGAGAAGGCCTCCACGGATGGCGGCGGGGGCCTCCAGGCCTTCCGAGAGGGCCCGCCCCCTCTCCCCGCTTCCCCCCCCCCCCGCGCTCGCCGCCGAGTGCTGCAGCGCCCCGATCTGAGGCCTCTGCGCGACGCCCGCCCACGCGCCAGCCCCCCGGGCGGCTCGCTCGCGCGCGCGCGCGCGCGCGAGGTGCTCGAGCGGCTGCTGGACGCCCGCGCCGCGGTCGACGCCCCGGCGCAGGAGCCCCGCCCCTCCCCGCGCGCGGGGAGGGAGCTTGTCTCTGGCTGGCCTGAGAAGTGATGGGCCGATCGTCCACCACCACCGCTACCACAGGTAGGAGAGGGAGAGGGAGGAGGAGGAGCAGGAGGAGGAGGAGGAGGAGGAGGAAGAAGAGGGAGGAGGAGGAGGAGGAGAAGGAGGACCTCCCCATCCTCTCTGCTCCCCCGCCCTACCTAATTCTGGTAGTGGTTGTGGTGGGGAATTGGCCCATCACAAGACGGGATCCAGCTGAAAGGGGGTGGTGCAAGTTAACCGTTGCGGCATTTGTACTGCAAATATACTGCGCCAGAGAAATGTATTGCTCCTCAGCAGCCTCGCTTGCCGCTGGGATCTCGGCACCAAGGGAAGATTTGAATTTCCTAGTCAGCTTCTTGGAAGCCCCTGTGAACTCGGTGAATTCCTCCTCCTTTATTTTAGTGTTTTTGTCTCCGTCGTGCAGAAGATGTAGCACCCTTGATTGTTGCCGTCCGCTCGTGAACACCGCGAATCCGCGAAACATCAAACCAGCAAGCCCAAGCCATGTCCTTGTAGGTGTGCACGGTGGCACCTGTCGCCGCGAACTCGTGGACGGTCTGGACGGGTTGGCTTATCCTGCTCCTGTCCTTGACTGTCGCGCTGTTGACGACATGTACTGGGGATACAAAAAGGTACCGATACCGCTATTCCCCGGACGTCTTCTGGGGTGCGTTCCAACTAGAATTTCGAGGCGAATCCAGCGGTGGCGACGAGGGCCTCCCAGGAGGCCGTAAAAGAGGAAAACGGCCGAAGGGAAGCGGTACGGGTACCTTTTCTTGGCCAAACTGCGGGAACGAGCGGGTATGGATACTTTATCCTCTGATGTGCACCGATCTGCGGCAATGTCTTCGGAGAAGGCTGCTGCGGCTGTCCCTCCACGTCTATGGGTACCGGCATATCTGGGCTCCAGATGGCCGGGGCGCCCCTCAAGAAACCGAGTACTTTTCGTCAGGGTACCTTGGGTTTCTTCGCTCCGCGCGCTGCGAGGTGACTTCTCGCAGCCGCTGAAGGATCTGCTGCGTTCAGGGTTCTTTGGGCCCCCCCGGCCTGCACCTCGCGCCTGCGGGTTCCTAGCGGCCGCGTCCGCGCCCTTCGGGGTCCAATTCGAGGAACTGAAGCATAAACATAAATTTTCGGAGATCCGTGCGGATCTCTTGCATCGGCGCTAGGCCCCCCTTTCTGTCGCGCAGAGCCCGCCAGGGGGGCCCAGCGCAGGTCCAAGTGCTCCGCATGCTCATGCCGTTTTTCTGGTGCTCAGCAGAGCCACTTGCATCGAAGACATGCTCTTGCGTCGGCCACCGCCACGGGAGGTCTTGCAGAAGGGCCCACCTCCGTCCGTGCTCAAAGCCCTCCAGAAGTTTGATGTGCGCATGGCTACGGAGACGCGGGAGATCGAGGCCCTCGCTCTGGAACGCCAGTGGATCTTGCCGGCGGCGTGAGGTCGTTGGAGTGCACGGGCGCCGGAGTCTTTCCGACATAGGCAGCGCTATCCAGCCGCGTCGAATTCGCGCGGCCTGCGCCGCTGCTTGACGTTTTCTGATCGCCCGCCCATCTGTTGTCCACGTGCCAACCGCAGCCCAGAGATTTCTCATCGAAGGTCACTCGCAGATTGCATGCAGGTGGATTATGTCTGGTTTGCAACTCCTTTGCGCGCGCGGCTCAGAGACTCTCCGTCGAAGAGACGCGGGGACACGTGGAGACTGCATGAGACAAAGCGAAGGAAAGTACGCCCGCCCAGGTGAGAAGGGGAGGCAGGGGTGCGGGATAATGCAGCATGAGGGGAGGGAGAAAGGATCGCTCTAGAGGCTCCCTAGAGCGATTGCGCAAGGGGTTTGATTGGCTCTGGCTTCCACAGTGGGCCCCCTGACGGGGCGCGATGTGGCAGATCGTCTTGCATTACCTCATTGCTTTTTGCCGCCCCACGAAACGGCCCTCGGTGGCCACCTCGAACCTGTCCTCGATGGAGGATAGAAGGCTGGGGAGAGGGAGGAGGTTCAAGCTATATGGCGTTGGATGACACATAGGGAACATTCGCGACGAGTGCTCAGAACGCAGGATTGCGCATATATCATATACAAAAGCAAACGCACCAGATTTAGATTAAGTATGTGGGGTTCCTCGGTCGCGTAATTATGGCGCTCTTCTTCTTCGAAGTTTAGCCGAGCGGCGGATGCGGATGTCACCATCCACCAAACCACCCCAACCAAACCACAAGGCCCCAATTTGCCCCCCACTCCCAGTGGGGGGGGGGGGTCCTGGGAACGGTGAAGAAGCACATGCGAAGGCCCGCGCAGTGCCCACCCTGCTCGCCTCCAGGGTGCCCGGGGCTTCTTGGATCTCGATGTTTTTTTTTTTTGCGCGGGGCGACGTGCTGCTCCTACATCAAAAAAAGTCGAGGGACGCCCTGGGGTCTCAGGGTTGGGCTTCATGTGGAAGATTTCTGGTGCTCGAGCTCCTACTGCACCCCCCCAGCATGAAATTCGGGTCTGGTGCAGGCCTCGGAAGAAATTAGCGAGCACTCATGCCGCGTGCATCTGTCAATGGCCCCCCCCCAGTATTGCAATCATGGATTGCACGTGACAGTCACGCAACACACTTGCGCACCAGAATGGATTGCCCGCCCCAATCTAGTGCAACTCACAGATCTATGGCACCAGAACTATATTGTTCCACCCCTGTGTGAGCTGGACCCACACTTGCGTTAACCAGATTATCGGTCACAGATCTCAGACGGCAGTCCCGGCATCCCAGACGGGGTCCGAGCAGATGGGGTCGGACGATCGCGCCGCATTGCGTCGATGCGGATCCTGATTTTCGCCACGCCGACCGCGGCGATGCACCGCCGACATCGCCGATGCATCGTCGATACAGCGCGATCTTCCCTGGAACGAACAGCTACCCCCAGGGAAGCGGTCGGAACCTCCCTGGGGCCCCGAGAGTTGAACAAATCAGGTCGGCGGATATCAGCGGACGTCTCCGTCGGTTGTTTGAAATGTTTTCGCCTCGGGATCGCCTTCCAGCAGCTGCGTATCGTCGAGAGCGTTCCTGGGATGCCCAGATCGTCCCGGTCGGCCTCTGCAGGGGGCCCGTGTTGTGACCCGCAGACCTCAAATCGTCGCGCAGTGGGAAAACAGGACGGACGGGCTGTTGCCATGCAGCCTCGGGGGGCCGCCTGGTCCTAGGGGCCGTCAGCCATAGGCCCGGGATGGAGACGGGCCCCCGGGAAGGGGCCCAGACCTCCAGGGTCCGGACCTCGGGCTCCTGCGGTGCCTGGCAGGATCGTCCCGATCGGGTCCCTCGTCCAGGGCTCCGCGTCGGGCCCCAGGGGCTTCGGAAGTGGATCTTGGGTGAAGGAGCCGGCCAGGAGGGACCCCAGCAAGGGGTCGGGGGCAGACTCAAAACTGAGCGACGGCCGAGTTTCGCGTGCAAAACTCTCGCGTGTGGCCGCGCGTGAGCGCCCTCTTCTCCGCTTCGTGCGCCACGACTGCGGGCGGCTTAAGCCGTCGCGTAAGGTAGCTATGACATCCTGCGTGAAACCATTTTTTGTTTTCGTCGCTCAGTTGATCTTGCACGAACAGTAAGAGGAAGATGAGGGGAAGCAGGCGGAGGAGGAGGGCCGTTGGCAGCGTCCTGGGGGGCCCTTTTGCCTTCACTTGCCAAGTGCCAGGCGGAGGATAATGAGGAAGGAGGATCGATGATCTTGGTTGCGGGGCGTCGTTTGCCCTCCGGGGCCTTCGGGGAGTTCATGGTAGCCACGGCTGGATTCCCGCCGAAATTTTGGTCAACACCTCTGAAGAGGTCTGGTGCCAGATTTAGGCGAGGGAGGAAGAAGAGGGGCAGGAGAAGCAGGAGGAGCAAGAGGCCGAGGGAAATGGTCCCGCATCTGTTGCAAGAGAACTTGTTGCGACACTTCGATCGCGGTTCGCCGGGCGGCTGGTAAAACAACAGTTCTTTGCCGTGACAGCGCCTGTGGTTTACCTCTTCCAGCGCTGGGATGTAGAGCTACCGCCTCAGCACCAGGATTTATTACAGGAGCAGACAGGGTGGAGCAATGCGTGGGGTAGGACTCCGCGCATTCCTGCGATGCACCATGAATCTGCCGTTGTCTCACCCAGTGAGAGCGCCTGGGAGGATCGATTTCGGCGGTGCGACGCATCCAATAGGTGCTGCATTTTCAGCAGCACGAGGGCGGGAAACGAGGGCGGGGGAGGAGGACCAGGGGCCGGACCAGCATGACCCCTCCCCGTTTAAAAGAAACGCTAACATGGAGTAAGACGCGTGGATTGGCGACGGGTCCCGTTTCCATACGAAATCCGCGCGCGCCGTCGCCGAATTGACGGCATTGGCCTCATGCATCCATGTTAGCGTGTGCAGGACCAGTGGATTTTTGCGCGCGGTGCGTCCGCGCGAAGCGGAGGACGGCTGGAACTGCCTGTCGCTGGCCACTCAGGCGGGGCACGAGGCCGCCTCCCCGATCGGCAAGAGACACCCGTCGGGATGCAACTCCTGGGAGGCTTCGTTTAGCATTGACGCTCGATCATCCACGACCGAAATCTGGCACCATCCAGCACGAAGCCGCTGCATCTGGTCCATCGGGCTTCGTGATGGGCCCGATTCGCCGTGGTGGCCTTCTCATGGCCTATAGGCGGACGTGTTCTGAAGGCCTCAAGGCCGGCGCCGCCGACCTTCGAGGGCGGGACCTCCCCCGGGACCAGGGACACACGGGGCCCGGGAGCCAGGGCCGGGGCGCCCAGATCATCCGATGCCGGCGGTTTCGGCGGCGATCTGGGCGCTCGTCGATTGTTTCGGTCGCGGCCGGATGCCGGATGTTTCGGTCGCGTGGGATAATCGGACCGGGCGAAAAGGGGGCGAGTGGGAAAGGGGGGGTTACGAAATGTGCTGCATGGAGCTGGTTTCGGCCCCACCCAGGGGCCCATTCCTCGATATATGGGCGCCTCCGGCGCCGGGAGGCGCCGGGAAAATCAGCTACGGGAGCTGATTCTCAAACCCCCCTTTGCTATCTCGCCCGACCCGAGATTTGGGCGCTCGTCGATTTTTTCGGTCGCGACCGGATGCCGGGTTTTTCGGTCGCGTGGGATGAGTGCGAATACGCGCAAGTTTTCGAGGTCGAGCTTCGGTAGCGGGGAGACAGAATCCGTCAGCGGAAAGTCGGATTTCGGTACTTCCGCAACGCGAAGATCGATAACGCGAGAATCTGCGCAACCACCATGCTGAGATTCACCAGCACCACCAACAATATCACTAGCATCAGCATCATCAGCACCGTCGTCCAGCAATCTATCTCTGTTTAGATTTAAACAGCATTCTTGTCACCATCATTAGTTATGAGGGGAACTATGTCCAGTCCATATCAATCGTCTGCCGAGGTCCCCGGGCATCGATTCTTCAGGCGGTGATTATGGATGAACCCCGTCTCTCACGGAGTCCTCGAATATGTTGATTTAGTGAAGGCGGAACGAATTTCATTATCATGACTAGTAATGATGTGCATATCGTGAGCGACGGGGGGATATTCGACCATTTGTATCGATATTCAGGTTACTTAGGCAGCACCGAAATCGAATGGATGATTTGGAATTCCGAATCGTTGCGACCAGAATTTTCAAACCCTGGGTCGTGACTACTGGGCCAACCACCAAAGCTCGCGAAAGCTGGCAGGAGGTAGAGAGAGGCCCGGTTGGATGGGGAGCGGGAGGAAGGGGGATGTGTGAGGCGGAGGAGGAGGAGGAGGAGGAGGAGGAGGAGGAGGAGGAGGAGGAGGAGGAGGAGGTTGAATAGCGGAGAAGGAGGTGGGCAAGGAGGCGTAGGAAGGGTATTAGCAGGGATTGGGGCGGAGTAAGACGCCAGCTTTGGCCAGCAGAACATTCTGCAGCTCGAAGCTCGAAGGGGGCGGACATGGGGAAGGAGGTTGCGGGGAGGAGGGGGGTTGCGCCGGTGGGCGGGGGGGGGGACGCAGGTCGGTGTGGGGTTGTGAAGGAGCAGGAGGGGGGGAGGAGTCGGAGGAGGAGGAGGAAGAGGAGGAGGAAGAGGAGGAGGAGGAGGAGGAGGAGGAGCGGATGAGGATGACGAGGAACAGTAGGATGAGGATGATGAGGATGATGGGGCGGAGGAGGAGCGGGAGGAGTGGGAGGAGGGGGAGGGGGGGCGCCGAAGAGGGAGAAGGGGGGAGAGGGAGGAGGGGAGGAGGGGGGAGGAGGAATAGCGGAGGAGGAGACGGAGCAGGGGACGATCTGTTCGATTACCCGGAGAAGTTGCGCCACCGTGGGGAGGACAGGGGCGGTGGGGGCGAGGCGAGTTCGGATGTTGCCCCGCGTGCGTGCGCGCCTGGAGGGCCTCTTCAGGATGTCGGCGGCGGGCCAGTAATTAGCCCCTCGGAGGTCGTCACTGCAGTGTTGTCTCGGTCGTGTGGGCGTCGCGTTGCAGGCTGGCAGAGATGTGGGTCCCAGAGGTGCGTTTGGGCGTCCTGTTGTCGAGGCTGACTTTTGAGCACGATCTTTGCCCATTGTTTTTTCCGCGTCTCTGAGCATCCACCCAGTTATCATATCCCAGGTGTATGTCCAGTTGCGCCGAAGCATTTTGAACAATGAATGGTACGTCCATGATCGTTGCTTCTCGAGGCCCTGTCGGGAAGGCTCGTTGGGGCTCTCTTGGGACGCCTCGACGGCCTGGAGCGATACTCTGCCGTATTGGAGGAATCTAGGCATCGGGAGCGCGAGCCTGTCCTGCAAGGAGTTACGTCCTCGGGAAGAGGGGGCGGTGCGCGCAACAAACTGCGACTGGGCGAGGGGGGGGCTCTTCGAAAATTGCAGGAACCAGACCAGAGAGATCTTGGCATTATTCCACGCCTCAGCTTGCTCAAGGCACGGTGGCGGGAATACGCGGTCTGCGCTCTGTGTGTGTGTGTGTGTTGGGGGGAGGATGGCGGGAGGGGGGCAGGATGAGGAGGGGCAGGAGGAGGAGGAGGAGGAGGAGGAGGAGGAGGAGGAGGAGGAGCAGCAGCAGGAGGCGTCGGCGGAGGAGGACGAGCCATGAAGAGGGGGAGCGCCAGAGGGGGAGGAGCAGGAGCAGGAGCAGGAGCAGGAGCAGGAGGAGGCGGAGGAGGAGGAGGAGGAGGAGGAGCAGGAGGAGGCGTCGGCGGAGGAGGACGAGCCATGAAGAGGGGGAGCGCCAGAGGGGGAGGAGCAGGAGCAGGAGCAGGAGCAGGAGCAGGAGCAGGAGCAGGAGGAGGAGGAGGAGGAGGAGGAGGAGCAGGAGGAGCAGGATGAGGAGGACGGTTATCGAAGGAGGGGCAGGAAGAGGAGGAGACGACAACCGTTGCAGATGTCGAGATAAGTTCATGCATCGCGGGGAAGATGGGGGAAGGGTCGGCGGTTCAAACATGGGGGCCCTGAGGCACGGGGCCCCAGGGTAGGTTGGCACCCCACACTGTTTGAGGCCCCTTTTCCGTAGAGCCCCATCCCTCAGGACCCCATCTCCCAGATTCCCGGCGTCATGTTAGTCCCTCATCGCAGATCCGCCGAGGTCCAGACCCCTCCCCAGAGACCGGCTTTTCATCCCGAGTCGTTATTCTGACGGTCTCGAGGCCCGGTGAGCGCCCCCGAAGGCCAAACGTGGCGCCTCGCTCGACGTGCTTCCTGGCGGGCGCCGCCCTGGCCGGCAGGGCGCACCTCTCCCTGGTGCAGGCCCCGGGCGTTGACGTGTGGCTCCAGGCGCGTTGCGCGCACCGGAACCGCGTTCCCGCACGGTGTCATGCAGGTCGGACTGCAGGGGCGGTTGCGAGTGCAGCTCCTGCTGGAGGAGTCTTTTTGTTCATCCTGTGGCGAGGTGATGGACGTTTTCTGCCACCACTCCCTGGTCTGCGCTTGCCATGGCGACCAGACCAATCGCAGCAACGCCCTGCGCAACCAGGCCTTCTTCGACGCCCTGGCCGCCCGTCATGCCGGGACGGAGTTGGAGCGCCAGGGGTTGCTGCCCCCGCGCCCCGCCGGGAAGGCCACCCCCGGGGGCGAGCACATGGTGGAAACCCATGCCGGCGCGTGGGGCCGCGAGGCACGCAGGTTTTCTGGGTACTGGCCAAGCCGGTGGCTGACGCCACGGGGGAAGACGCCGCACCTGTTGCGGACCAACGCGCCCAGCGTTTTCCCGTCTCCCTGCGCAGGGAGAACGCGCCAGCGGTGTTGCGGCGCCTGCAGGCGCAGTGGTGGGGCGGGGGTGACAGCGGCCCGCCAGGCCGCGGCCGCGGCTGCCTCTTCGGCGCACGCCGTGCGAGGTCCCCTGGCGCTGCCTAGCGCCCCCCGCCTCGCCCTGCCTTTGCTGGGCAGTACGGACGCCCCCCGCGCCCTTTCCCCAACGTCGCGTTTGCGACCCTTCGCACGCGCCGTCCGGCCCTTCCCGGGTGGGGGGTGGGTGATCCCACAGAGGGCTCCCCCCGCCAAGCCGCGGCGTGCTGGATTCGGTCGGCCACCCCGCCCTGGTCGCCGCTCTAAGTCCGTAGGCTCGTCGCGGGTGGCTCTTCTCTCCCGGGTCCTGGCCTGGCCCGTTCGTTTGCCGTGTTTCACCCTCCCCTCGGCCACGTTTTCTTCCCCCTCCTCTTCCCTGTCCTTCTGCTCACTGCCGCGTCTGCTTCCAGCCGCTTCCTCTGCCCTCCTCTTCCATGCCTGCTTCCCCTCCCTCCTGCTTCCTGCCGGCTGTCTCCACCCAGCTCCCCTTCACCTGCCCGGTCGCCCCGCCGGCCCGCGCTTGCCGCCTGCGCCTTCGTCACGTCGTCTTCTGCCTGCTTCTCTCTTCCCCCCGTCGCAAGGCAGCAAAGCCTGCCTTGAAGCAGCGTGGGGTTTCCAATGGGCAATGTTGCAGGCGTCACCTTCTGTTGTGTTTTTGTGCCACGACGCGAGGATGTCGGGCCAGGCGAAAGGGGTGGATTGGGAAAGGGGGGGGGTACGAAATTTGCTGCATGCAGCTGGTTTCGGCCCCACCGAGGGGCCCAATTCTCGATACATGGCCGCCTCCCGGCGCCGGGAGGCGCGGGGAAAATCAGCTACGTGAGCTGATTCTCAAACCCCCCCTTTGCTATCCCCCCCTTTCGCCCGGCCCGAGGATGCCAGGGTCGAGCCCCTCCCGGCCCCATCCCCGCGCCGCGGGAGAGGTGGGAGGACTGAGTAGGGGGGGCAGAACTTTCCCCCCTTTTACCAGGCGGTCGTCAGCGCCCTCCTGCGCCGCGGGGCCGCCGCGGACGCGACCACCGCAGGCTCGCCGGCGTTCGTCGCCGTCATCGTAGCCGTCGTCGCCCGCTCAAAACGGCGGCGGCGGCGACAGCAACGACGGCGACGACCACGAAAACGCCGACGAAGACGACGGCGACGACGACGACGACGACGATGACAACGACAACAACGACGACGGCTTATCGTCGTCGTCGTCACCGTCGTCACCGCATTCGTTTTTCGCAATCGTCGTCGTACTTGATCGTGTGCGTCGTCGTCGTCGTTGTCGTTTTCGTCGCCATCGTCGCCGCCGTCGCCGTCGTCGTCGTTCCCCGACGGTTTTTGGGATGCGTTTTTCGGATTTTCGGGCCTCCGTGAGGAGCCCTGGGCGTCTCCCGGGGGTCCGCCGCAAGCGTCCAGTCCAGGTCTCTTTCTGACTCTCAGGGATTTCCAAGGCCGGGTCGTTTTCGATGTCTTCGTGGTGGTGGTGGTTCGGCGGCGAGCCCAGGGGGGACGACAGAAGGGGCGGGCCCTTTCAGAAGGCCCAGGAGGCCGTAGCCACTGTGGGCTTCTCAGTGGGCCAGAGGGCTTGTGAGACGCCGTCGAATGGTTGCCGTCGTTGTCAAGGATCGGGCTGGGGAGGAGGAGTTGGCGGAGGCGGAGGCGGAGGCGGAGGAGGAGCAGGAGGAGGAGGAGGAAGAGGAGTCAGTATAAGATGACGGAGGAGGAAGAGGAGGCGAACCTCAGCAGAACCAGTACCAACGATACTGCAAAACTCCCTTCCGCCCCGAATCCTCTCCCCACCAGTCCCCGATGAACGTGCTTGAGGGCGTTCCCTGCGTCCCGGCGTGTGGCCAGTCTGCCTTTCGGGTCGTCAGCAGCAGTTTTGACAGACACCTCGCCCTCTAACCAGCACGTGTCGTGTCTTTGTCTGTGCCCGCGCGCGGTGTCTGCCATCGTCGTCTCCGGAGAAGCCCCGAGGTTTCGGGCGGCCCTTCGGAGGCGGCCACACGGCCGTCGTGGATCCCCGCCACCCACTTCTCGCCCCCGCCCCCCCACTGGCATCCTCGCGTCGTGAAGGCAGCACGAGGGCAAGTGCCTGGGGATCTGCGGCCTCCAGGGGCCCTTGCCGGGTCAGGTCAAGACGAATGACGGGTCTCCACGGAAAGGGTCCAGACCCCCGGGGAGCCGCGTTGCGAACAACAACCGCGTCGTCGGATGTTTGGGCCCTCCCACCCTCCCATGGGTCTAATTGGATCCGATCGACCCGATTCGATATCGATTTCGGTCCGCCCAATCCGACTCGATCTCGACATTTCGTCGAGTCGTCGATCCGATGCAGCTCGATGTTTGGTTTTGCGTAGTGGCGCGGCCGACCTGTTTCGATTTCGACCGCACGCCGAATCACTGCGCATCCCGATCCGACCCAACTTCCCGATTCGGTGCTGACTGATCCTGGCCTCCTCCCCCCAATCCTCGCCCCCCCGCAGGCGGCTGGACCTCCATCCACCTGGCTGCGCAGCAGGGGGACGAGGCCAAGCCGACCCATTGCCCCCCTCCTGTCGAGAAGCAGATGTGGATGACGGCGCGTGGATGAGCGACGGGTCCCGTTTCCATGCCAACGTCGACGCGTTCCGTCGCCAAACCAGGCGGGTTTGCCTTCATGTTTCGGAGGGTAATTCCCCCGATGCCAGATCCGCCTGCGCGGAGGCTGAGCTGGGCGGGCCTGGTGGTGGTGGCACTCGAGGCACAGACATCCCGCTGCCCGTCGGAAACGAGACCGCCGTGTGTTCCCGTTTTTCAAGCCTCCGGGTGCCCTCTTCAGGTTCCCGGACCGTCAAGCAAGGACCTGGCCAGACCACCCACGTCCATGGCAGTGGCCCGCGCGATGGTCGTTCGGGAGCCCTTCCGTCGGCAACTCGCGGCATCTGTCTGCCAGTGGCTTGAAGCCGCGCGCCGCGGCCGCTGCACATGTGGACAAGCGTAGCTATGGTTTGGCCTCCCGGCAGTTGCAGTAGAGTGGTTCCTTCGGTCCCGCAAGAAATTGTCCATTCACAGACGCAGTCACATCAGGTGAACCGACTCGCGGACCCTCAGCATGCTTCCTCTCTGAGAGTGTCTTGCTGCCCCATAGCTGAGAGTTCCACTATCATCGACCATATCGCGTGCGGAGGCTCAGCCGTCACAGCCGCGGCGGTCGGCACGACGCAGGGACGGAAGGCAGGCGCGCGTGAGCACACTGGGCCCTCGTTGATTGTCGTACCGGCTCGAGCAACTTTGGATGGTCGACGCAGAAGTGCGGTCAGCAGCATCGCAATGGATGCTTGCACTAACGGTTACCGCGGAAACTCGCCGAAGGTTGCCTTTTGGGATCTCCTTTCGGGCATTGCAGCGTCGCCCTCCTCGGAAAGGGTTGTATTCGCCGGGTTGCCGGCCACGGTGCCGTAGGTATGCGTGTCGTGTCGACGCGGCGGCGACCTTGCCGCCGGCGTTCAAGGTGGAATGCCGCCAGAGGCCCATCATCTCGGCACGATCGGAATGGGTACGGACCGAGAGTGGGTGCAAAGACCGACAGCAGCTTGTGCTCGTCTTGAACAGGACTCGCTGTCCGCGCCGCCGCGGTCTGTGCCCACTTGAGACAGATGGCCGTGTGCGGGCGTCGCGGCCGTCATTATTTTTTGCGGGTCCAGGTCCGTCGGTTTCGCTCCCAGGCCGTTCTCACGAAGGGGAAGTTTACTACAGGGAGGCTTGTCCACCGCCGATTCTTCCGTACCCAAGGACGCCCTCGAGGGTGCGAAGTTATTCGCGCTTCGCGGTTCGGCTCCCCTTCCTCCTCGTCCTCCTTTTCTCCCCTGGGAGGCGGCGCGAGAGCGCGAAGTTATTCGCACTTCGCGCTTCGCGCAGCGCGAAGCGCGAAGTTGGGAGCCCTTGGTACCCCATCTCGGGCGTCCAAAGAGTCGGCCAGCATGTAAAAAATCTGGCGATTGGCACAAGCTGCCGATCTCTCTCTCTCTCGCGCTGCAGCGGGGCCCGGCATGCCGCGCCCAAGCGCCGCTCTGCAGCGGGGCCGCGGCCGCGCAGCGCCTCCTCGCCGTGCCTCCCACGCGCGGGGCCCGCCTCGTCGTCCGAGCAGCAAGGGGTCACGATGGTGATGTTCGGGTTCGGCCCAGAGGGGGGCGAGGACCTCAGTGGGCCCTGGAAACGACAGGGCCGTGGTCACGATCGTGATGTTCGGGGGCGGCCAAGAGGGGGGCGAGGACCTTCGTGGGCCCTGGAAACGGCAGGGCCGTTTTTGGTACCTGTTCCGTCTTGCCGTTTTCTTTTGCCGGTTCCGACGCCGTTTTTGTCACCGGTTCCGTCGCCGTTTTTTCACGGGTTCCCGCTCCGGTTCCACTCCTGGAGCCGTTTTTGTTGCCGTTTCCGGTCGCCGTTTTTTTGCCGTTCCCATTTTCAAGGGGCATTTGTTCGGAAAAGGTAAAAAAACGGCCCTGCCGTTTCCGTGGCCCACTGAGGTGAGGACCAGGGGTGTGTGGAGAGCATGGCGGGGGGCACGATGTCTGCCCAGGTTTCATGGCGCCTCCTCTCATCTCCATGCGTACCTGGCCCCCCCCCTCCTGGGCCGCGCACGTGCCGCCGGCCATGACTTGCGGCGCCCCCCCCCCCCCCCCCCCCCTCTTGGACGCCCCCCTCCTGGCCCGCCCCGAGATGTGGGGAAACGTGAGACTCCAGCACATCGGGTTTGCCGACGCGTTTTTGACGAGGGCGTCCTGGATTTTGACGGTGCAGTTTTCATGGGAAGTTTGCGGCGGGAGTTCGCGTCAAATTTCAGATTGGGTCCTGTCATTTTCATGATGGCTCCGTCAGGCCAACCCGAGTCCCCCGAACCCGAGTCTCACGTCTCCCCGAATGATGCGTTCCAAGATTTCCCCAGGATTTCCTGACGTTCCAAGGGGGCCGCAGAAGCGAGAGTGCCGCTAGGCACTCTGGAAGTCCTGAAACATACCATGAGCCAGTGCTATCATGTCATCGTTCCCAGCTTGCACTTGGCGCACCGCCTTGACGGCGGCTCGCAGCAGCGGGGCAAGAGATACCGATACTACCACCCTCGCCTCGCCTCGCTTCTTGCCTTCCGGGCCTCCTGGAGGGACCTCTGGCTGCCACGGCCGGATTCGCCTCGAGAGATGGTGGTCAGAGCGCACCCCTGGAGAGTTTTGGGGTGCAGCTCTAGGCCTCCTAGACGGGGCCTGGGTAGATGGGTGGGAGGATCGCGCCGCATCGCCGACGTATCGCCGATCCAGCTCGGTGTGGAGCTGATTTTTCTCTCCGCGCTGGCGTCGCCGATGCACCTCCGGCGTCGCCAGTGCACCGCGGATGCATCCGCGCTGCGGCCTGATCCTCCGACCGCATCTGCTCGGGCCCCATCTGGGAGGCCTCCCAGTCGCGGCATCGGCACCGCTTCGTTTCCCCATCGCGGAGCTGGCTGCCTCCGCCTCCGCCCCTCGCCCGCTCTCCGAGACCCGGTGGTTTTCCGGCCTCGGGGTGGTCTCCGGCAGCGGCGCCTCGCCGAGAGCGTCCCGGGGGTGCTTGGATCGCCCCGATCGGCCGCTGGAGACCCCGAGACCATCGCCTCGCCGCGGAGAGAAGCATCACGGCGGGAAGCCTCGGGCCGTGTTCGGCCTCCGGCTCTCCCAGGGGAAGGCGCACAGGGCTCACAGAGCAAGCACCTCGCACGACGCCCAGAGTCGGAGGGCACCAGCCATGCATAGGGGGCCACATGCGAACCCTACCCCTACCCCCCTCGAGTTCTGAGGGGGAGGGTGGGGTTCACTTCGTTCGGGAGCTCCCGAGCGAAGAGAACCCCACCCTCCCCCTCAGAAATCGTGGGGCAAACAGATGGAAAACATTGCTCACAGGCGTCCTGGCATGCAGAGAAGAAAGTAAAGTGGCACAGTGCCCCGGGGCAGCACCTCCAAGTGGCAGCACCTGCACCGCGCCCAGGCGCTCGTGCGCGCCCTCCTTGCCGGCCGCGCCTCGCTGGACCTGGTGCAGAAGGACGCGCGGGGGCCCGCTCCTGGTGGGGCCCCAGCACGGCCGACGCGGCAGCGAAGCGGCGCGATCTAAGGCCTGGCGCGCGACTTCGCGCCCCGACTCGCCGCGGCAGAGTGTTCAGGCTCGAGGCCTTCGGGCGTGCTTTTGTCGTCGGTCCTCGGCGGCCTCCCAGCCTCGGGGGTCGCTCTTGCCAGCAGCAGCTGCGCCTCGCGCCGAGCGCGCTCGAGGGGCTTGCCCAGAGCTCGGCCCGAGCGGGCGTCCGAGGGCCGAGGCATGGCCCGACAGCCAGGGGGCAGCGTGGGGCAAGCAGCGGCGAAGCGTCCCGGCTCGCCTGTAGCCCTACCAAACTCAAGAGGGGAAAAACAGACACAGACACAAATTAATCTTCAATCTCCCAGAAGATATGGGAAGATATGGGAAGCGGGGGGGGAAACAGAAACCCAGAACATGGGAAACTATAGGGAATATGTTGATTTGTGTGTATAAATTTGTGTGTCCCAGGGCCCCTTCACAAACAATGTTCTAAGAACCTGTGGTGGTTTCCACGAGCTGTTCTTAGAACCTTTCTGGCTGGGGCTGTCTCGTCTTAACACATAAGCTTTAAGCTCTAAGGGCCTTGTTTCTGTTCTCAGAACACTGCTGGGTTCTAAAACACTTCGTGCTAGGACTACAGGGATGCCGGGACGGTCGGTCCCTGCTCAAGTGGGGGGGGCTCCTGGGGGGGGGGGGGGGGCTGCACCGGCCCCCCCGTCGCCCGTTCTTCGCCGACGGGGGCCCGACGGGGGCCCGATGGCCCGCCCGCGCCCCGGAGCGTGCGGACGAGCCACTGGAGGCCCATCCCTCGATGCAGCACCGGGAGCCTCGGGACGGGGGTCAGCGCAAACGGGGGTCAGCCAGGGCTCCGGATCCTGCAGGATCCTGCGAAGGCCCCAGAGGTCCCGGGTCAGCGGGCCGCTCGGGGCCGCGAGGCGGCTGCGCATGATTGGTTGACCCGGCCTTGCGAGGATCTGCGTTGCAGTTGTTCTTTTGTTTGCATTGTTGTTTTTGGCTTCCTGCTGACCCGGGTCTGGATTGACCCGGGTCAGAAGATCCCCGACAGCAGCGCGGCGTATCGCCGACTCCGGGTCGATGCGCCCCGTCTCGATTCGCCATCGGGGGCCCGTCGCCGATCCATCGGCGATATGTGTCGCCGATTCCGGGTCGATGTTCCCCCCCTGAGTCATGCCGCATTCCCATCCTCTATCGTTGCCCCTCGATGCATCGCCTTGCGAAGACTTGTGGGTGCTGGGGAAGCACTACCACCACCAACGCCAACACCTCCTTTCTCTCTCTCTGTCTCACTCTCTCTTTCCCCCCTCGCAGCCGTCGGCAGTGCCAGTGTTGCCCACCTCCACCGAAATTCCAGTGCAGGAAAGTGGAGGGGAGGAGGAGAGGGATGAGGAGGAGGAGGAGGAGGAGAAGAGGAGGAGAGGAGGAGGAGGGAGGAGTTGGATGGGGGAGAGGAGGAGGAGAAGAGGAAGGCGGAGGAGGAGGAGGAGGAGAGGTGGCGGAGGAGGAGGGTGGGATCCGTACAGTCGAGAGAGGGGGGGGATGATACGGGTAGATCAGGAGGGCAAAGAGCTCGCTCATGATAATTGATGTGTTCCAAGATCTGCAAGAGACCAGGGTTCACAGATCCCCGAAGGCGGGCGCCACACCGGCTGCAGCCGCAGGGGCCGCCAGATGCTCCAGAATTTCTTCTACGTATCCCGAGCCACTGGCAGCATGACATCATCCTCGTCCTAGGGGGACGGGGGGGACGAGCGGGAGGGAATCAGGATGGGAGTGGAGGAGGAGGAGCAGGAGGAGGAGGAGGAGGGATGGGATTGGAGAAGGGCTGGAGTGGAGGAGGTGGAGGAAGTGGAGTGGATGGAGTGGAGGAGGGATGGAGTGGAGGGAGTGGAGGAGGGAGTGGAGGAGGAGGAGGATGGGAGTGGATGAAGGATGGGCGTGGAGGAGGAAGAGGATCGGGGCGTGAAGGGCGCGGGCGTCGGACCTCCCTGCGGGCCCGCGCCGCCGCGGCGGGGCCCTCCCCGGGGGATCCGCGTGGCCGCCAGGGAGGGGGAGGGATGAGCAGCAGCAGCAGCAGCAGCAGCAGCAGCAGCAGCACGCAGGCCCTTGAGGCCGTCGGAGAGCCTCTTGGGAGAAGCACGCGGCGCGGGCTGCGGCCGTTCAGCCTGCGTTGAGCGCCTCTTGCGTCGGCCCGCCTTGCGGCAACCACGTTGTTGTACGTAGGTTGCTGGCAGTTCTTGCCTTGCCCCGGGAAGGAGGAGGCGGGGAAGGAGGACCAGTGTCATCCCAAGACTCATCAACGATGTTGTAATAAACCCTCCCTCCAAGCTCCCTCTTCGTAGGCCCCTACAGCGGTTCATCGGTTCATCTCCACTGAGGGAACTGCTCCGTCGGAAAGCCACCGTTTGAATATTCTGAAGCATGCCGCCGAAACATTGTTCTTAGGATTCCAACGCCACGGATCAACCTGATTGTTGCGTGCTGGCGAATTTGATTCATGCCGTAACGCAGTTTTTGGGGTTTCAACACCGCGAATCAAAGTGATTGTTGCACCCTCATGATCCTGACTCTTTACAAAACGCAATTGCTAGTACGTTGGTCATGGGAACCCGTGAAACTTTGAACATATTTTGTATGAATGTGCGCGGAGGTTAGGCGACAGCAACATTTTGAACAGGCACCGCCCTCAATCTATGAAGCTCTTGCACAATTGTGAAACGAATGTACGCGGTGCTAAGGCGCGAGCCACATGTTGAACACCGACCGCCCTTAACCCGTGAAACTCTAATAATTTTTAGAGCGAGTGCGCGAGGCGCTAAAGCGAGAACCACAGTTTGAAAAGGAACCGCCCTCAGTCCGTGAAGCTCTTGCAAAATTGTAAAACGAATGTGCGCTGCGCTGAAGCGAGAGCCACATTTTGAAAACCAGTCGCCCTCAATCCTTGAATTCTTGCAAAGGTTTAAAACGAATGCGCGCAACGCTAAGACGAGAGCCACGTGATGAAAACCACCCGTCCTTCTCCTCAGTCCGTTGTGTGAAGGCTTCTTGCAAAATTGTAAATACGAATGTGCGCTGCGCTGAAGCGAGAGCCACATTTTGCCAGCGTAGATCCCAAATCTTGATTTCTTGCAATCTATAAAAAGATATGCGCGCATCGCTAGACGAGAGCCATCCGTGATGAAATCACCCGTCCTCATCTGCGAAAGACGGTTTCCAATGTTTTCAAGCTGTCAGGGTCATAAAGGGTATGGAGTCAGTGGGACGTCTCACGGAAAGCCCGGTCCGCCTTAAAACAGGGAGAGGGGTTGTTACAAATGGAATGCAGGGGGACGAGTGGAGTAGGAGGAAGGAGGAGGAGCAGGAGGAGGAGGAGGAGGAGGAGCAGGAGGAGGAGGATCGGAGGGGGGTGGTGGAGATGAGAGAGGAGACGGAGGGAGGAGGAGGAAGAGGAGGAGGAGCAGGAGGAGGAGGAGGTTGAGGAGCAGGTGGAGTTCGTTGAGATCCGACGTCACGGAAGACAGCATCGTGAGGACATTCCACCAGAGCCCTGGGTTTACTCATCTCTCTGCGCTGTTCCAGAATAGCGTTTCGCTAGAGGGTTCTCCTGGCGGTAGAGCCACCAAAGGAGCCGCACACGGGGAACGGGGAGCCCGAGGAGGTGTGGTTTGGCCGGCGCGGCAGCTGTTTCGCCTGAGATTTTATCACAGTATTGGTCCAGAAAGTCACGACCACTTGCAACAACATACACCAACGTGCACATGACCGTGCTCTCAGCCCTGTCCCGGCTCCGGTTCTGCCTCAGACATGTTCACTCCAGATTCAGGAATCGTGTTCTCGCCTCAATGCCTGCTGCATGTGTGCCTGGTGCCCACAGGTTCCGCTACAGGTCCCACAGGTTCCACAGGCTTCACGTGTCTCGACAGGTCCGATAGGT